GCACATTTCTGAGTGAATATATATATATATATATATATATATATATATATAGCACAGGGAGTTCGTTTCGTTATTTTCCTACGTTGTACTTCTGGCCAACAGCCTCCCAGAGGCAGCACATAATATTTCTTTCGTCGAATTAGATGGGGACCTACACTGTCCCAAGTGGGGAGTTCTAAATTCGTTTGACTTGTATTCTAGTGAGAGATTCCGTACGCTGCATCTGCCTTATTGTCTTACTATTTGCTATAAAGTACAGCCTTCGCTTCACTCACCAAGTCCCTTTTCTGCGATAACTTTGCCATTCTGACCCAAATTCCTTCCTGGTTTTGGGATTTACTTCGTCATAACAATCTTTTTTTCCAACTCTTGCTCTGTCCAAGCCGGACGCTCCATATGGATCTCGAAGAAATTTCTTCTAATAAATGTTTCGGTGGTGTACAAAAGGTCTACACACATGAAAGGTGGGTTCCTATTCCCTTCTCCGTCATCTTCACTCGATCCTCATGTGTAGTTCTACGGTCAAGTGTGCTATGAAGTTTGGCGTCTACCTGCCGCCTGCCTACGGTGAACATGCTAATTTACCTGTGGTATTTTTCCTGCAAGGTTTGTTGGATTCTTCCTTGTATTAAATGCCCTTTCTTGTAGGCTTAACATGCACGGATCAGAACTTCATCATTAAGTCTGGTGCTCAGAGGATTGCTGCTCGTCTTGGAATTGTCCTCGTTAACCCGGACACCAGTCCACGTAAGTTGAGAACTATTCTATCATAGTGCCTTCTCATTTTCTTCCCTCTTATTAGGTGGCTGCAACATCCCCGGGGAGGATGACTCTTATGATTTCGGCACGGGTGCGGGCTTCTACCTCAACGCGACTCAAGAGCCGTGGTCAGCGCACTATCATATGTACGATTATGTGACAAAGGAGGTTAGTTGTAAAGTGGCTCAGCTGTCCATTGTGCTCGGGAGTACTAGCATATGGTCTCCGTGACTGAATCATCTAGAAGTTTATAGTAGTGTATATGTCTGTAAAATTGTGTTGCGTATGATGGCAAATATGCGAGGCGAGAAGGGTATATTTCTGGGTTCGTAATTATTTTTTTCTCACATGCTGATTTCTCACTAGAGCCCACTGTCAAGGGTAAATGAAAATGTATAACTCGGCTAACATTCAAACACGCCCACTGTCGGTGACCTTCAGTCGCGTTGTAGATTTGTTCTCGCGGCTTTTGACAAGCCGTTGTGCCTGCCGACTGATTCGTTTTTTTGGAAGTCACACTTCCTTCAATGGGCTCCTAGTAACTGGTCCAGGAGCGCGAGTAGATTAGAAGCGTGGTCGTGTCCTGTAGAGGATAAATGAGCGGCCGGCGGGGCATGGTTTTTATTTTTCGTCTGATAGCAAGTTCGGGTTTATGCATCCTCCTCTCGACTCACTTGCTGGTTTTACCATCGTAATTACCCTGATTGCAGCTACAGACAATACTAACTATTGGTAGTGGATCCCGTGCTTGCATATGCCGCATACTGCTCCAACCCTCAGTTCGCGCGCTACTTTGGCGGATTCTCTGGATACACCAAGAACCAGTGCCAATGCAGGCTAATATTTCGACCAGGACTGGGTTTTCGTGTTTCGCTGAAAGACTTTTACCAAACCCACGAGCTATCCTTTGGGGATGTTTTACTTCGGCCTTTTTGCCGTACTGTCCTCTGCAGTGGGTTTCAACACAGTGCTATGACGCTTTTATGCAACGGTTTTTTTGTTTTTGCCTGAAATCGAGTAGGTGCTCTGAGAACATAGTTAACGAAAGCCATTGGTCACCTTCCCATAGCCGATTGTTTTGGATTTCCTATTTCTTTTTCCGCAGACTAACATGTCTAGAAATGAAAACTGACCTTTCTCATTCAGTTTTTGATTGCAATCTTCAATGATTTCTCGTTTGGTAGTGCAAAACTGTCATCGACCTACCGAATCTACAGTTTTGGTGTACGTATGTCGACGGCCAGTGGCCCTGGTCGTCGCATTAGCACTTCAGCGATGAGGTTTGGTAACGGCGGTCATTCATTTAGAGCTCTGTGGCATGTATAATAGATCTTTCAGCTGTTTACGAGAGTGCCGAAGGTGTGCATGGCCCTCTGTTTGAGTGCCGCCTCCTTGTAGCGTCTTTTCAACGGGCTTATTTGATTTCAACTGCACGGTCTTGTGGGAGCGAACGGAATAGTGACTGCACTGAAAGCCCCTATCACCTCGCCACTTGCAAGCCGATTGTCACCCTCGTTTCTGTGAGTACTGTTCTGTTAAACGGGCGAGTGTTTCAGAGATTTAGGTTATCAAATTAAGGCGATTAAATGACCACTCGGGCAAACTAAACTTTCGGGTTGCTCTCAGGAAGGCAGAAATTCGCGGTGGTCTTCCTGGCCCGTGGATCTTTAGAAGGCCATAACATATTGCTGTTTCGGCAACCTTCAGTATAATCTTTCGTCCGTCTCTCGTTCTCGTCTAGGTTTTTTTTTCGGGCTATTTGTCAGCACCTCCACCACACTCTCTTCACAGGGCACGCTGAAGAGGTTGCAACAATATGGCATGATCTTGCTGATGTTTTCTTCCTGGTTTGATGCAAGTGTGGACTAGTAGTATGTTGACCTTTTCACTCGGCTTTCAGTATGCGGAGTTCGTCGTCTTGCTTCTTTAAAATGGTCTTTTCTGATAACTAGGACATCAGTTCGGATCAATTTCTGTTTTATTCGGTAGCTGTGTTTCAGTTACGTTAAGACAGGCATCGTGGCACTGAATTTGAACCTTTTCCGCTGCCAACGGTTTTGAGGATATGTAGTAAACAGTATCCACACAATATTGGTCCAACTTCTCTTCATCTCTTTTGGCCAGTTCATAGGTTAGTTTGACGTCATCCGCATCACGAACTCGTCTTGAATTGCAAATAATTGTTTGGTGTAGGTTATTTGTCAGAAGTTCTTTGTGAATTTGGAATATTGGTATGCTGAAGTTTTAAGCCCAGGTATGATCCCACCCTTCCTATATGGATATGTTCGTGTGGAATTGCACTGGTTCGTGTTTATTCTGTCTTTGAGGTGATTTGTGCTTTTCGCCGTGTGCAAGGTATCGGATGGTAAAGCAGGCTTCCTGCAAGTAGCCTATTTGAGGTCAGTTATATTTTCCGAGGA